GAGTTCAATCCCCAGTACCAAATACATACATACATACATACATACATACATACATACATAGAACTAAATAAGAAATATCAACAAAAAGTTAAAAGATAAATTTAAAAGGAAAGCTAGATGGGTGCCATGGCACACATCTGTAATCCCAGTGACTCAGGAGGCTGAGGCAGGAGGATTTAAAACCAACCTCAGCAACTTATTGAGGACCTAAAAAAACTCAGTGAGACCCTGTCTCTAAATAAAGTACAAAAAAGGCTGGCAATGAGGCTTAGTGATTAAGTGCCTCTGAGTTCAATCCCCTATACACACACACCAAAAAAAAAAAAAAAAAAAAGGAAAGCTGGCCTAAAGTTAAAAACAATAATTAAAAGCCATAATAGGGACTTGATACTATATTTGTTGTGATGCTATTTATCTTTTGTAAGAAGAAATAGGAAAACTGAGGAGTTTTCACAGGAAGAAAATGGCTGAGTAAACCATGGAAACCATGGTACACCTGTTTATCATACACTAATTAAACTATAAAATATAGATCACACAATACATCTATAGTATTAAAATGGTGCATCTATAGTTTACACATTTTAAACTCAATTTAATATTTAAGACTGACTTCTAAAATAATTTACTAGCCTTATATTATCTCATATTATGTATGTAAGTTTTCTTTTTTGTTGCTATCATTCACAGTTCTCATTGGATCCAGAAGGTAAGTGCTTGCCTACATTATAATGGGATTTCTAAGCTCTGAGTTTTTGTGATTTTTAATCCTACATTATTTTGGTTTCAGAGCTTAAAATGTGTAAACTATAGATGTACAATTTTAGTACTATAGATGTTTTGTGTGATCTATATTTTATAGTTTACTTTAAAAAATACATTTATTTTTTAGATGTAGATGGACACAATACCTTTTTATTTGATTTTCATGTGGTGCTGAGAATGGAACCCAGTGCCTCACATATGCAAGGTGAGAGCTCTACCCCAGAGCAAAACCCCCAGCACCTGTAGATTACTTATTATCTCTAAGTCTCAAAGTTATCATATATAATATAGCATTAGCAATAATTCATTTTAACTATGCCATGGAATTTTTTATGAAAATATGTTAAATATTATAAAGCAATATTCAATTGTATATTGTTTCTATCATTGTTATTGAGTGATGACTCAATAGTTAGGAAAATTCTTGAGGAAAAAAAGAATGTCTCTCTTATTAATGGTTAAGGTGCTTAGAGTACATTACACCATTTGCATAGAAATGGAAACAAAAATGAAATAGATATTTGAAATATTCTTTATAATTTTTGGTTTTATTTTAAATTAAACATACTTCAAAGCAATTGTACTTCACATACAGTTGTAATAAATAATGTATAGATGGTCCACTTACTTTTTGCCCAAATTACCTCAAAGAAAATATCAAAATTATAAGACAATATTATCACCAAGATAATGATATTGACATTTATATGTGAAATATTTTCTTTACCAAAAAAACTAATTGTCATTTTATTTCATTTTACAAAACCAAAAGACTCTGCTACCCATTTTTATAATTCTGCCTGATCAAGAATAATATATAAATGGAATCAGAAATTGTATAATCCTTGAAGATTTGATTTTTTATATTATCTTCAAAATATTTGTTTGAAGTTTCATCTAGGTTGTTGTGTTTTAATAGTTTATTTCTTTTATTCCTCAGCAGTATTCTACGGTACGGCTGCACTACATATTGCCTACCATTTAGCCTACTTAAAGGGCATCTGGGTGGTTTCCATTTGGGGCTATTAGGAAGAAATATGCTATGAATATTCATGCTCAGTGTTGGTGTGAACATATGTTATCATTTCTTGCAGATAAATGCCAATGAGAGTAGTAATTCTGAGTCATATGGTAGTTGCATATTTAGTCTTTTAAGAAATTGCTGAATTGTTTTCAAGAGTAACTTGAAATGTATGGTAGCAATATGTGAGTGATCCAGAATCTCCATATCTTTACCAGAATTTAGTGTTGCCACTAATTTGTATTTTAGTCATTCTCATAGATGTCTAACTATATCTTATTGTGATTTAAATTTGCATGTCCCTAATGACTAAAGTTTTGAATGTGTTTTCGTGTGCTTATTTTTCACTTCTATATCTTTCCTAATAAAATGTCTTTTTAGATGAAATATATCTTTTAAAAATCTAAAGAATTTAAGAGCCTTTTTTATATTTTAGATACTAGTCTTTTGTCAGATGGGGTTTCCAAATCATTTCTCCACAGTGGAGTTTTTATTTAATCCTATTAACTAGAAATTTTTGAGAACAAGATATTTTAATTTTATAAGTTCCAATTAATCAGTTTTCCCTTTATGGATCATGCATTTTGGGTCAAATCTAAGAAATCTTTGACTCACTCTCAATTCCAAACATTTTCTATTATTGATTTTTTGAAATCATATAATTTTACCTTCACATAAATGATCCAGATTAAATTTTTGTTTAAAATGTAACTTTTAAGTCAAAGCTCTGTGTGTGGATGTGTGTGGATGTGTGTGTGGATGTGTGTGTGGATGTGTGTGTGGATGTATGTGTGTGTGTGTGTGTGTGTGTGTGTGTGTGTGTGTGTGTTGTGTCTATTTGTTCCAGAATCATTTTTGAAAAGGGAATTTTTTCTTCATTGATTTGCATTTAAAACTTTATCAAAATCACTTGTGGATATTTAAGTGGTTTCATTTTCATAATTTCTGATTTATTCTATCTGAGTGTTTTTTTCTCTGCAAATACTAGGCAGTCTCAATTACTATATATATTTCAAATATATAATAGTATATATATTAATATACATACTATATGTATATTTCATTATAATAGTATATATTAATATACATACTATATGTATATTTCTTGAAATGAGATATATGAATTGCACTTTATTCATGTTTTTAAAAGGTGCTTTAGCTCCTCCAATTCCTCAACATTTCCAGATGTATCTTAGATGTATCTTGTCTACATTTGTAAAACCTTATTGCTAAGGTTTGATAAGAATCACATTACACCTATATATTGGTTTGGGGAAATTGCTGTGTTTACTATATTAAGTATTCAATACATGAACAAAATACATCTTTCCAATTCTTTTAATATTCTTTCATTTCACTCATAAATGATTTGCCACTTTCAGAATATAAATGTTTTGTTAACTTGACATCTAAGAATTTTTTGAGGACAACAAGAAAGATGATTTTAAGGGATGTTAATACTTTTGTGCCCATACATTCATTGCTTTTTATATTTTTACTTGCTTTTATAAGTTTATCTGCCACCTTGCTGAGTTATTATTAATAGTAGTCATTTTGTAGATTCCTAGGGATCTTCTATATACACAATCATATCATCCACAAATAGAGAAAATTTACTTCTTCCTCTCTGATCCATACACCTTTTATTTCCTATTGTTCTTTTATTGCACTGGATAGAACATACAGCTGATGTTGAATTAGAGTGTGGTGACTGCAGACACTCTTGTCTTGCTTCTGATCTTAGAAGGAAAGCATTCAGTATTTCATCATTAAATGTAACAGCTACAGATATTTAGTAAATGTTCCTCACGAATAGGCTCTATTATCTATTTCTATTTTTCTGAGCATTAATGTCATAAATGGGTGTTAATTATATGGAGTGTTTTTCTACATTGATATTATTATATGATATTTTTTTCTTTAGCCATCTAATATGATGGGTTACCAAACCAGTCTTTCATTTTGGATAGGGATACACACACCCACCCCTCACACACACACAAACACAAGTGCACTCGCCCACATATTCTGAATTCTATTTGGTAATATTTTAAGGATTACTTATTCTCTGTTCATAAGAGATAGATATATTGATCTGCAGTTTTCCTTTTTATATGTTTTCTCTTGTGTTTTCATTATGGTAATATCTTTATTATGGGAATTGAGAATTATTCGCTCCTTTTTTACCTTGTAGAAGATTGCATAGATTCATCTTTGTTAACATTTGATGAATCTTTGTAATTTAGAATGACATATGTAGTAACGAAATAGAGCTGAAGATATCACTATGAATTAGTTTTTTACTTAATGTAAATTCAAATGGTACATAAAGACAGACAGATGTGTATATACGTGTTCATATACACACCTACAATTCTTTGCTCTGTCAGATGTTAGGGTCAGAAAGAAATGACATCCAGTAGCAGTAAGCACACTTAGCACATTTCCATTGCTCTGACCTAGTATAAGCAACAAGGGTCACTTGGAGAAAGGCTTAATTTAAAACTGGAGAAGAAAATATGTAAGATAAACCTAGAGCCTTTGATAATGCCAGAAATTGAGCAACTGTTAAAAGCAAATTAGTCTTATGCTGATGGGGATGTTCAGGGGACACCTGTGTCAACAGAAAAGTACCAATGATCAGAACCAGAAAATAATGAAGTTAAAGAAAGAAAGATAGACACTTAAAGCAGTATAGAATTGTAATGTAAAACACAAAGTAAATACCCAATATTCTGTACTGATATAAATAAACGATGGGCTAAAGTAGTAAATAAATAGAAGAAACAAATCAGCTATGCAGAAGAATCCCAGACAATTTATGTAGATACTCTGCCCTCAAGGAGGTGAGCATGCATCCACCTTGCCCCACCCCCATTAGTGTAGGATGTACATAGAGACTTCTATTCAAAGAATATGGTGTGGAAAAGCAAAGAAAAGAGTAATCTAATAAACATTAACTCAACAAAGTGGTAAAGGTCWGCACTGACAGAGATATATCGTGTTGATAGTAGAGACCTTTGGAGTTGTGTGATGAGCACGACACTTCACCTATGTTGTCTGCCTTTGAATACCCAAACCCTATTAGGAGCTTTAGAAAGACATCAAGCAAATTCTCCTGGAGAAGCATCCTTCAAATACCTGACTCTCAATGCCTCCACTGAGAGAGGAGTCTTAAACTGATAATCCTTCAGAAAAGGTAAAACTGACTTAAATGGAAGCTGAATCATTAGGGGCTATTATTGAGATATTTATTGTGCATAAATTTGATTGGATCTCAGAAGAGGAAACAAGAAAGGATGAGAAAAGAATCCCTATAGATAAGAAGGTGGGTTAGAAAGAAAAGATTAAGAGCATTAAAGATAAAGTATCAACAAATTAAGCATTTTATAAGTCTTACCTTTTTGTAAGTCTTGTCTTGCCTAACCCTACCCTTTCTTAATTATTTGGGTGGGAGAGGCTTTTTCTGAGTACCTAAATTGTATTAGGATGATAGAAAGATTTTAATAATCACAAAAGATAATGAAGTGAACTTGTCTAATGAATGTATCTCATGTCCATTAGCAAAGATGCGTATCTAAATTTTGTATTGAATATTATTAGTTTATCTGTGAAATTTCCATGATATATGAATTTTAAAGGAGCATCACTTAATCAAATGAGAATTATATTTTAAAATTTTTGCTGTACCTACCTAATTTTTAGAAGCTTAAAAATTTGATTTAATACAAAGTAAAACCTCTTCTGAATATTCTTCTTGCCATTTCAGAATCTTACTGTTTCTTCAAAAATGCATTTCCTCCATGGATTTACCACTGATTCAGATTTCTTCTCCTTTGATTTTCAGTTTACACAAACATACACACAGACATACCTGCACTCTGACATGATATTCATCATAAATTGAACTGACTCTACAGTGTAAGACCTATCTTGGATCAACAATGCCTGAGTCCATATTCTGAATCTACTGTGTATTAACTTTGTGAAATTTAGCAAGAAGCTTTACTTACTTTTGCTTTGAATTCTTTCTCTGTAAACTAGGAATGATAATAGTAAAACTTGCTTAAGCATCATTCTTAGATTGTTTTTCTGCAATGTTCCCTAAAGTCTCTGCATTCTTATCTGTCTCCCTTTGTTTTCTAGAGGACAGGAGGCATCAGTGGCTGTGATTGTGCTGCTTGATGCTCTTCTCTGAAAGGTCAGAACAAAAGGTAATATTGAAAGACATTTTGGCACTTAGCAGAGTGATCTTTAACAAGAAAGATGAGCAGTGTGTTCCAATTGGTGAAATTCCCAAGAAGACCTCAGAGAAGCCAAACAGAGGAAAAGAATATAAAAGAAGAATTGTTTAGGAATTAAGGACATGAAAGTTTGTAAATGTTCAAATAACAAAGGCACCTGGCAGAAAACYACTTAAAGGTTTGGAGGCTGCAACTGGCTTAGTAGAACTTTAGGAGATGCTCCAAGGAAGCAAAACGAGTACCGTGCCCTGAGTTGGTGGTGGCTACATCTGCTGTGACAGATTCTGTCCCTTTTGACAAGTAGATAACCAAGTCAGAGCTGCTTGGATAGCTCTGGCAGCATGAGAAAAACTCACGGGCACAGCAAGATGGCGAGAAACCTAAAATTAGTTTCAACAACCTAATATCAGATATGAAAGTTACCCAATCTGCTACAGTTAGAGTTAGTACAAGACTAGAGCATCAGATTATTTTGACCAGGAAAAGAGAGCAGGACAGCTGATCTTAAACACAAAAGAAAACAACAACAACAACAAATTATTATGAAGAATTTATTCAAGAGGAGACTTAATCTTTTTGACAGTGAGGCATTTACTGAAGAAACACTTGAAACAGAGACACTGTCTTCTCTTTGGGATGTGAAATTTGCTAAACAACTAACCACAGTAAACGAACAGCCCTTTCAGATTGGGTCTGAAGAGTGAATGAAAAGGGGAAACTGTGAGAGTTACCAATTAAGTGGGAAGCAGGATTTGATGATGATGGTTGAGAATTTAGTGAACATGCATCTCTGTATAAACACTTGGATGGTTTACCAAAACAAGAACCAGCTCACCACTTCATGGAGCTGGTGACTTGTGGCCTTTCCAAAAACCCATATCTGAGTGTTAAACAGAAGGTCGAGCACATAGAATGGTTTAAAAATTATTTTAAAGAAAAAAGGGACATTCTAAAAGAAAGTAACATACAGTTTAGACCAGGAAATTTATATTATAAGCTGTTGGAGATGGACAGGATAGCTAAATAAAATAATTTTTCTAGGAAAAAAAAAAAACTTTCCTAAGGGTTGTAGTGAAAAATGAATGACTCTAGTACATAAAAAAAAATCAGTGAGAAGAATGTCTATTGGTCTGGGGAAATGGCTCAGGTGATAGAGTACTTGCCTCGCATGCACAAGGCCTTGGGTTCAATCCCCAGCACCATCAAAAAAAAATGTCTATAATGCTATAAGTGCTTAATAAATATTAGTCACTGTTATTAATAATACAGCCATATCTAATATTGTAATATCTCTATTGAGTTATACCCAAAAGGGTGAAATAAAATACTAAGTTCCAGTCACTGACTGGGAAATAAACACCTTTTCAGGCTCTTTTATTCATATCCTGTGCTTAGATAGTTATTAAAATATAATTTTTAATTTTTTTTGTTTTAATTAATTATACAGGACAGTAGAATGCACTTTGATACATCGTGTATGATGGAGTATAATTTCTCATTCTTCTGGTTATACATGATGTAGAAATTTATCAGTATCTTAAATCATAAGTGAAGATCACAGATAAGGGTTCCACATGCACATTTTATTGTGCTTCACATTATTATGCTTCATAGATATGGTGGTTTTTTTTTTTGTTTGTTTGTTTTTTTACAAATTGAAAATTCATGGTAATCTGGCATTGGGCAATTAATACCACTTTTTCAAGAACTTGTTTATTTCATCTATGTCACATTTTGGTAATTTTCATAACTTGCTAACTATTCCCGTCATTGTTATATGTTAAGGTGATCTGTGATTAGTGAACTTCAATGTTACTATTRTAACTGTCCTGGGTGCCACAAAGAGTCCCCATATAAGAYAGTGAATTTGATCCATCAAGACAGRGTGTGTTCTCAGGCACCATTAATCCGCTGTTCTCCAGTCTATTTCCTTTTCCTCAGATTTTCCTATTCCCTGAGCTACAACAATATTGAAAGTAGGCTGTGAATAACCCTACCGTGTCCTCTAAATGAGTGTACAAGTGAAAGGAAGAGCCATGCTTCATCCTTTAAATCAAAAGTTAGACATGATTAAGCTTAGTGGAAAAGGCATGTCAAAAGCCTAGACTGGCTGAAGAGGGGCCTCTTGTGCCCAGCAACTGAGTTGTGAAAGCAAAGCAAAGTTTTTGAACGAAGTTAAAAGCATTACTTCAGTAAGCACACAAATAACAAGAAAGGGCAACAGCGTTATTATTGATCTGAATAAAGTTCTAGTAGTCTGGATAGAAAACCAAACCAGATACCATAATTTCCTTTAGGCAAAGTCTAATAACAGCAAAATCCTAACTTATTTTTTTTTTATTTTCTCAGCGTCAGGGATTGAACCCAAGGGTGCTTAAACACTGGAACCACATCCCCAGCCTTTTTAATTTTTTAATTTTTTTTTATTTTGATGGGTTTCACTAWGGTACTTAGGGCCTCACTAAGTTGTTGAGGCTAGCTTTGAACTTGMAGTCTTCTAGCCTAGGCCTCCAGAGCCACTGAGACTACAGAGAAGTGCCACTGTGCCCTGTCTAACTTTCTTGAATTCTTTGGAGGCTGATAGAAGCAAGGCAACTGCAGAAGAAGAATGCAAAGCTAACAGAGGTCGGTTAATGAAGTTTAAGGAACAAGTATCCCTATTTTTGTTTATGTGTATACATGAAGAGAGAAGGAAATGGTTGAAGTAGCAAAAATGGAAGTAGAAGCTGCAGCAAGTTATTCAAAAGGTCTGTCTAAAATAATTGACGAGTGCAACTACATTTAACAACAGATTTTCATATAGTCAAAACAGCCTTCTAAATGATAGCAAAGTTCTGTTGTGGGTAAAATGCTATCAACAGCATTGCATGCTACAGAGAACTGTTTTGTGAGAAAGGAAGAAACATCACTGTTTTGTTTTAGGAAACTACCACATCCTTCCCAACCTTCAGTCAGTAGCCATTAGCATGGAGGCCGAGACCCTGCTGAAAGCTGAGATGATCATTAGCATTTTTAGCAAAGTATTTTTCAATTAAGCAATAGAATTTTTTAGATATATAGTTACTGCCCTGGTTTTTATTTATATGCACTGAGAAATCAGAAACTTCAKATGACTCACTTTATTACAAGATTTGTTTAATTATGGTGTTCTGCAACTGAGCCTATAATAATATCCCTAAGCCATGCTTGCAAATATTCAAARTAAAGAAACTGCTACATTCTGATGGAAATTGGAGGGATAGGACAATTTCAAAATCTTTTCAAATTTTTATTCTTCTAATTACAGAAAGGGTACTAATAAGCTACTGATTTATATTTTCTCTCAATTTCCATCTATATAGAATTTGCTTAAGGGTATATAAAGAAAATGACAGGAGAAATGAGAACATTAATTACAGCATCAGATCTTCTTACATGAACAACATTTTAATAGATTAATGTCATTCATTGTAATATCTTTTATAGTTTGGATCTGTAGTGTCACCCAAAGACCCATGCATCAAAGGCTTGGTCTTCAGCTTGCGACATATTATTATTAGGGGTGGCAGTGCCTTTATGAGCAACAGCCTAGTGAAAGGAAGTGAAGTCAATGGGGGCATGTTTTTGAAGGAGATATGGGAACCCTGACCTCTCCCCTCTTTCTACTTCTTGGCCACCATGAGGTGAAGAGACGTTCTCTGCCATATGCTCTACCTTCTCTACTATGATGTACTGTGCCACCACAGATTTAAAGTGAGGTGGCTAAGTGGACATGGACTGAAACTTTTGAACCCCTAAGTGAAAGTAAACCTTTTCTCCTTTAAGTTGATTATCTCAGGTATTTYGTCACAGAGATGGATAGCTGACTAACACAGTGTCCGTTAATCTAGTAATGCTTTCTCAGACAACGATCAATAATTTGTCAATATTTTTAGAAAACTGAGTCTTAAACAATACTTTGAGAGCACACAGCTGGAAAATGCAAATCCAGGATTTAAAGCCAGGCTCCTTAACACCAACACCAAATTCTTAAACATTAGGAAAATCTAAATCTTTAGATACAAGACTAGAGCAGAGTCTCTACAGAGGATTACATAATTTAAATATTTGCTATAGAGGGCTACCTAAAAGCTGGAAAAGTTGTCCCATTTAAAAAATAATAAAAACCTTCTCTAAACTACCTTATAAAGGACAGGCAAATGTTTAATTTTCTATACACTGTGTCAGTCCTTTAAAAAGTACTTCTAGTCAGAAATGCAGTGTTTCTACAATTGCTCTAAAAGTACAGTATATAAAAAGTACTCTAGAGTTCTTATTGCCCTACAATAGCAAACCATATTTTTATAGGATGGAACTTGCCACTTGCAGGAGAAATTTACACTCTTTTATTTGTTCTTGTCATATTGGTAGTTCTCATTCTTTTGTTCCAATATTTCAGAAAACTATCTGCCCCCAATTGAAAATGGGGAATAAAGCATCAAATATCACACCAATCTATTCATTTCAACATCATTTTGCTTCAAAATATGGAAGGAGCCATTGAAATATCACCATTGTAACRTTGAGATTCATCTGTGATAGGATCAACTTTAATAAGGAAAATTGGATTTTGTGAAAGGAAAGAAACATATTGGTCATCATTGGTGGACCCTTGATATATGGAAGAATGTAAGTGATACTACAAATGACTTGAAAATTTAATCCTTAATATATGTAAGTGGAATCTTTTTTATTTAATTGATTTTATTTTTTTAAATACATGACAGTGGAATGCATTACAATTATTACACATATTGAGCACAATTTTTCATATCTTTGTATATAAAGTATGTTCATGCAATTCATGTCTTTATACATATACTTGTTTTTGCATTATAATTCTTATTACACATATATAACACAATTTTTCATGTCTCTGTTTATATATAAAGTATGTTGACACCCAATTTGTGTCTTCATACATGTTCTTTGGATAATGATGTACATCACATTCCACCATCCTTGTTAATCCCCTGCCCTGTCCTTTCCCCTCCCGCCCCTCTGCCCTATCTAGAATTMATCTATTCCTCCCATGCTCCCCCTCCCTATCCCACTATGAGTCAGCCTCCTTATATCAGAGAAAATATTTGGCATTTGTTTACAACTTTTGTGAAGTATATTTCTTCAGAGACAAGAATAAAGTGGACAATTTTCCTCTTCTGTAAATTTGTACTCTTTCCATCCAAAAGTAACAATGTTTTTATTACTGGTGGTAATTTCTGAATATTAACCACTACCACATGTTGTGAATTATAACTCACATTGAATATACATTTGTGCTCTGCTGTCTGTAAATGGACATTAGGGAGAAGATAGAGCAGGCGTATCTTCATTTCAACAGCTAAAACATGTAAAAAATTTCCTTTGCCTCCTTATTCAGATATAGCATCTGAAGCATAACAAGAGCCAGTTTATGTGTTGGTCATCTTCATACATAGAAGCTAGTTCCCCTGATGCCACCAATCTTTTACAACATTTTAGTCATGCAGACTGGTCTCCATCAATGAAGCCCTGAAGTTAGTGCTTGATTAACTAACCTTTGATTGTAACTTTCAGTTAAGGACTTGGCTTCTTCCCCAATTCTCTTTCCCCTTCAATGGATCTAGAACAGAGAATTTCTCCTTCAATTAAATGTTTATGACACTGTTGCATCTTTCCTGCAAAACAGGTTGGTACTTGTCACTCCATATTTACCCCCAAATGACCAGAGTCTTCTYAGAACAACATGATCGGGGCCAGGTACAAAATTTGTGGTTTCCTTTCTTTAAAACAGAGTATCTTTCAGGGTACTAAAAGAAAATGTCTTGACCTCTTGG